AAAAGAAACTTTTCGCTTCAAAATTCGGATGTAAATCTAATTTCCTCTTTTCTCCGAGTATAGGATCTTTATAAGCCTATAACTTTACCCTTATAGCAAATGTTCAGTCCCATCCCATCACGCTAATCAATGTGCAGGGAATATCAGTCATGAATGTTACTTAATAGATACAGCGGTGTATTCGTTAAGAAGGAAAGGGATATATAAAAACAACGAAATAGAACGTTCTTACGTTCAATAAACCGTCAGGCATTCATCTAGCCACCTTTCCTGTTTAGTTGTATTTTTGACCCCCATAACTTTAAAGATTCCATACACGCACAAATACCTCTGATTTAATTCCTTAGAGATTGCGCGCAAGAGTAGCGATGCGCGACCGTACAGTTCGCGTTTGGTGAAACGAAGCTTCCACTCCATGTGTCATCCTACCCCATCTTCATCTCATCACCACCACCACCACCACCACCATTATCATCACCATCAGCAATAGCCTAACTCATTTATTCTACCACGTAGCATCATTATTTATCGTCTAATGTGCGATTAAGCATGAAAAGATGACATGGTCCTTAAAGAGGAGAAGGGGCAATAACAGTGATCTTCATTCTTCTTCCATCACCGCCACCATCACCAACTCTCTAACCCGTTTATTCCACCACATAGCATCATTGTTTTTCGTTTAATGTGCAATAAAGTGTGAAAAGATAGTACAAAGTTTGGAGGGAAGCAGTGAGAGTAATCCTAAAATTATTTTGAGGTTGATGGGTAAAAGACAGAATGATATAAAACGGAATTTATTTCCATATGTCCTTTTGCCTAAAATTAATTATGTTCATGCATTTTTATACTGAACATTATTTCGGGTATCTACTGTAAATTGAATTAATTCAGTATTTTATCAGATGTGTAATTTCGAATAACAATATTCTGACAGCAATCAAAATATAAAAAAATGTTTAATATCCAGATATTCAAACATTTGTTGAACTTTTTATACTATAAAAAGGGCACCGTTGATCTCGTGTATTATACCCGTCATCTAATGAAATGCAATACCTCTTTCTATTCAGATCAGTGCATGCTTCCATCTCTCTCCCACATTCACACGGCGCACACCCACACTTTCAAAGATACACCCTCGCCTACACAAACGCACACGCATGATAATTTTTGCGCAAACTAGTTACTTGCTTTGCGATTTGGATACGGACCCGCGCGCACACAGTGCACTCTCCCTTTCTGAAGTGTTTTTGAAGCTTTTTATGGTGTAAGAAAGTGGTGATCCGATATTACAGTCATGTTAGGGTTATAATTTGGGATGCTCTGCGAGGCTTTACGCTTATTCGATTAAAGTTATGCATTGATACTTCCGCGGATTATTTCATAGTCGAAATCACGGCCATCTGTTCAACAATAGGTGACGAAAATTGTAGGAGGCTAAGGAAAGCTGTCGTTATGGTGTTTGATGATGGCGTGTTACCTAGCTCCGGAATACACAATAGCATTAGCAATTTTACAAAGTGCTTTGTGTATAGCAATAACGAACTTAAGGTAATTCATAATGCTGCTCAAAGGGAAATTTATTATGATGAATCGAATTTAATATTTATTGAGTTGTTATTATTTGATATTAATGAAATGCATTCGAAACAAGTTATAATAATTTGTAAACTGCAAAAGGAAAATGGATTTGGCCATACATTAACTCAGAGATTATAATATTATTATGAAAGTAATCACACAACACGAAAATATTGGGGTCCAATAACTCTTCTCTTGAAATTTTATTTTTAAAATATCACCTTAAAAAAAAAATGAAGATGGTTAAGGGTTTTTTCTTAACAATAAACATTAATCGAATGACGACATTTGGACGTTAGAGTTGGTATTAAAATATCATCACTGAATGACAATAAACGTGAGGGAAATTGTCGCCTTCCCTTGCTACATCGGTGATTGAGTGGCACTTGAACAATCTCATAATTATCCTGTGTCATAGTTATGAGGTAAAATAATAATCCTTTTGTTCAATTTGGACGCATCTTTTAGAGGTTGAGTAAATTTGCTGAAAGGTTTACTCAATTTCTCGCTTCGTGTTTGCACCTCCATCGAGATTGTGCTTGGTGTGAGAAAAGGGCGGTTGGTAGTCTTCAAACTCTAGGCCGAAAAAAATAGATGGTTAAAGGAAATGAGAATAGGTAGGTTTGGACAGTAGCGTATCCAGAAATTTATTAAAGGGGGCTCCTCAACAACTGTGGAACCATGGCAAGTAGTAGTTTTTTTTTTTCTAGTGTTTCCAACGGGATGGGTGGGGGTTTACGACGACTTCTCCTTTTGTCGGATAAAACACTGAATTTGGAAATGTCATCATCTATCATGATGGAGGGAGATCTTCTTTCTTTGTTATTTTTTAATTAGTATTCATCGCTCGCTTCTAACAAGTTAGTCCTGTTGATAAATTTCCTTTTTTCCTTATCCTTTGTATTTCAAGAAGCTTTATTTTGAGTGATGAACCGTAAATTCGGATTTAGTAAAATGAGAAGAAAAGAATATTTGATTACTTTATAATTACCTTGCCTATTGCTATGCTACATAAAACGGTGCTCAAATCAAATTAGCTGTCTAGACTAGATTGAGAATAACATTTTAATTGATGTCTCAGTTATGTTTTTATTCCGATCTTAGTCTGGTTGTGCTTTGAAGAAAAAATATCTTTGGACAAGCGATTGCAGTGTGAATTGTTTTTTATTTGTAAGCAATGTGGAAAGGTGTATTGTGTAGTAAGAATTGATGTATACTGTCAGGTTTCGAATCAGAGAGTTTGCTCCAAACATTTTCAGCTATTTCTTGTCATAATATTTAGAATATTAGGGCATAAAAGTTATTTTTCTCAAAGTACACCTCTTTTATGATATTGATCCAACTATTAATTAAAAAGAATGAAAAAGCTTATAGGCCGAAACCAATATTATTTTTCGTCTTTATCAGAACTCAACCTTCTCTTTAAGTCGATCGATAACTAGTTATGCATGCGGTTATTTTCATTATATTAATTCGTTCTTTTTCATCACAATAGTTAAGCTATATCATTACTTTTGACGATTGCCTTGGTAATAAATGAAGTATTATTCAACACCAGTACAAATAACTTTAAAGCGTGATACAAATTTATTGAAGTTTCACAAAAAGTCATCTAATCTAGGTTAGATGCTAACCTCCTCCAGACTAGTCAGCGGTGTATTGCTTATACTAATCATTTGGAGTTCGGCCAATGGCCAATATTCTATAAAACATTTGAAATAATTATTGTGCATGCTCGTCATGAGGTATTATGTTCCACAAGTACAACGTGTAAATGTTGAAAACGTTCAGTATGCAACGTATAGGGCACCAGTACTGAGTGGCTCATTTCATAATATTTAGTAGAATTATACGTTTCGTATTGGCTGTAGAGTCTAACGCATGCGTACCATGCGTTATCTCAACTCCTACGCTGCCCTATCCCACCGCTGCCTCTCCGACATTCCAACTCCCTGCTCCGACTAACTATCACATTGCAACACCTGAAGTATAGCACCAGATGAGTGGGGTTATGGGGATCCCCCCCCCTCCCCAACAAAAAGGACAGGTAAGAAAATATACATTCCTTATTCTAGAACAGGAAATATCGGGCCTCTCCAGATCATCCCCATGCTAGGCCACCCCCCCCCCCCCTGCCTTGACTGGACACAGGCTACGCCACTGTGTAATGTTATACGCCCGATATCCCACTAGGCGTAGAAAGCAGGCGTAATTTTCCGCCAGGGACAACGGTATTCTCTGATGGGTTCCATGCTGGGCTACAATCAGGTCTGCGAGGACAAACTAGTATAGCGTTTACCTGGCGTGTTACCTGAATATCAAGTGACGATTTGATTGACGTGCACAGCAGAGCTTCGCCGTGTGGGCCCCCGTAAGGTATGCACGGGGACACCACAGCGCGCAGCATGCACGTACGGTTTAGAGGTGAGTGTTTCGAGCCCGAACCGACCCCTTCTCGCTCCCGATTGGAGGGCATGTTATTTAGTCATCCCAACCTTGTCACACCCGCGTGTGAGCCGAAAAAATCATAGAAAGAAAGGGAGTTAAAAGAAGAAAGAGGAAAGAAACAGGTAGAGAAAAGAAAGGAAAAATAATAGAACACACGACGGGTGCTCATCATCATTTTTTTTCTTGCTTTTGCATCTCGCGAGGGGGAGGAGGTATGTACCTTACCTGGGGACTGGCTGTGAGGTGTATATGCACGTAGGCTATTAAAAGGGGATTCTTCTTCTTTCACTCAACAACTTGCACAATCACTCTCTCACACTCACTCTACATCAGTGTATGTGTGTACCGTATCACTTCTAAAGAGAGCCGCTGACGCATCTCCGTCGCACCTTTCCGAGGCCTCCCGCCGTGCTTGGATGCATGCTAATATCACTGAAAACTTGTGTGGACCTTACTTTCCGCTCACCAAGACGGCACTTCTTCCTTTTCTTCTCCCTCTGCAAATTTTTTTTCTCCTAAAAAGCTATCGGCAGTATTCCAGGTGTGTCATCTACTGCTTTAATATAAAGAGACAGTCCTTCCAAAGAGGGAAGAGGGAGAAGTACACAGCCTCTCCGAGTATTTACGAATTAAATGTACTTTTATTTGAACAACCGGATGAATGCGTGCTTTGGGATTTTCATCCTCTCATGGCAAAGGGTCTTCTCTGTAAATGTCCACTTTGTGAATAAATCGTAGATTCGATCTCGTTCTGTTTGACTATCCGATCGATGAGCGGTGCTCACCTCTTGTTTTACCTGCATTCGACGTGATTCATCAAGGGCGGGGCGCCCGCAGAAAAACGTGATCTTACCTGCTTTTCGGAAGTGAATGAATGAAGACGTCTTTGCTTACCTCAAAACTCGCTACAACCCTACGAAAATAGACACGAGAAGAAGGAAACCGGAATAGAGCAAATTTCTGACTTCGTTCAAGGACGCTCATGCATCCTTATTTCATAAGAGATTTATGATTCAAAAAGATTTTGGAAGTGATTCTGAGGGGGTCGAATACTTGAGGAAGTTTTGACAGCTTATTTTCGTATGAGGGATATTCCTACTTGAAGACTGTGAATACGACATCCTCCAAATCGGAAGGACATCGCTCTTGATAAGGAAGACTCAGCTTTGTTTGACCCGCTTTAAGGGTATCCAGGTGTGCTCTTCAGCCAGCCTAGAGGGTCTATTCACAAAGGTGTCAGCGAGCATTATCCCCCTTTTGTTTCGTGAAGGGGGTTCTCCTTCTCCACAAACACAAAAGCAATTGGAACGTTTAAACACCGCGTGAAAGGGAACAAAGGTGCACCCCGACACATAAACAGGGGTTATGATGTTTTCAATAAAGGTACAGGTATTGGAGAAATGAATGGGCAGTAGTTTCATATCTTGATGGTGTATTGTAGGGGGCACACATGCACGTCGTGTCTGACATCTCTCTGTAAAGGAATGAATGACTGCTCGCTGCGGTGTCTTGTCTCGCTTGATGGAACGTTGGATTCGACGAGGAAGAAAAAAAGAGAGAGACTTGCTTGAAGGAGATATCCCACCTCCATCACTCATCCTCTATATATTCGCGGCTTCTTGGTTTTCTGGTTAAACTTTTCTGCTCTAGATGCGCAATCCACGATCGATGTCCCCGCTATTCATTCTCTACAATCATACATTCTACGTTCTCTTCGAACTTGATGTGGAAATTACCAGAGTGGAAAGCTTAGGGATTATTTTCAGATGAAATATTTGGGAATGCAGATAGGTTCTTTAGGCATTGAAGCGGAGTGGTGTGATGTTTCGTCTCATTTTTGAATGCATCATCTCTCATTCTCTCTGTGTTAACGCGGCTGACAACAGACTTACAGCTGTGACCGAGTTATGAAAACTGGATTTTATATTCGTGTATATACAAGCTTCGGAGCCAAACTTTTTAACTGACTCACCGGGGGATTTTATCTGTCATTTTAGTGTATGACTTTAACCGATAAATCGCGCCACAAGGCTGATCTTCCCAGGTGAGTTAATGAGCCATGGAGACTGTCACTTCTTTTTGAGTAGCCTATTGTCGTAGATATGACATGATGAGTTATAATTTAGTTTGTAACGTGGATTAAGGTGACTAGACCACATCACTTCATGCCTTCATTGTTCATAGAGACGAGATAAAAAATAATGTACATTGGCATTCGAGATCTGCACTAAAAATGCGGTGTAACCTGTCATTTCAGTTTTAGTGTGATTGTGGCGGGGGTGGAATAATGTACATGCAATAATCATCAAACTGTAACGTGATTGTCAGCTGTCTCCTCTGAAAAGGAGAGGTGTGCTTATTGTTTTGAACCTTATCAAATAATGAATTTATACTCCTAATTTATTCTCATTCGTAGAAAAAAAATTAACTTCATGTACTTGTGTAATTATTATCAAAGTGGTATTGTCAACATTGCACATAAACTATATTTTCACTTGCACAAGAACTCCATTGCATAAGCATTAGATAATAATGTGACATTATACCACGTTGAATTATTTATTTCAAATACATGGTTTTAAACTGAAAGGCCTATATTTCTGAAAATCATTTCGAAATGTGTAGGCCCCTACTCGGGTAAGTGAATAAGACAGTGAATAAATTAACAATAAACAAAATACAGCAATGGGCAGCGCCTTATACCAGTTTCATTGATCATGATTTGAATTGATATGGTAAAGCATTGTTAGGCGTTAACTCTACATTTTGGGGTTCAACCCATGATACATAGCAAAAAGCCTAGAAGCTGGAGGTAATTACGGTCACCACAATGACGGCCTTACAGTGGAACCATACAATGCGTTGAAAACTAAAAAAAAGTTAAGAAAACATGACCGAATTTCTGATGAAAGGAACATGAAGTTGGAGGGCGCAAAGGCCAGGCAACCCAAGAAAAATAGAAAAGAGGAAAGATCCACATGGTGGAGGGGACCCCTCATACATTTTGGTGGGTGATGCCCGTGGGTTATTGGTCGATGATAACGTTAAAATAATTTCATCGCCTGCAGCAGGTAGGATGGCGTGCTCGGATTGCGGGTGATCCCTGCCAGAAAGTGCGGCGTGAAAGGTGATATGAGCACCGTGGAATCGGAGAGACACATCCCCATCGAACGACAGGGATGGCGATGGATGGGCCCGAGTGGAAAAGAGAGGGGCAAAATCTAGGCTAAACATGGATCCTGGCATAAAATGTCATGCCAGATGAGCAAGGGAGAAGTTGAGAGAGTGCTGGCTAGGGGAAATACGAGGGTGTGATGAACTGAGAGAAACAAGGGGGAAATGAAAGAGAGGAACAGGAAGAAGAAAGAAGGAAAAAAGGGGACGGTTCGATACTAACATGGTGTACTCTTATGTCCATAAAGACGAGGAGTATTTTGAGAAATAAGAAATGTTCTATTAAATGGCATACGGTTATTTGAACGCAAGGTCGTGAAAGCCTCATAATCAACAGCAATTTTATTTTTAGTTCACTAGTAATTATATAATGAGGACAAAATCTAGACGTGGACAGATAATTATGAAGGCAATTGCAATTATTTTACGGGAATGTGTCACCTAACATTTTTAAATCTTCCAAATCCTGTTGCAGCCACAGACTCCGGACTTGACCACTGCTTTGACCAATGAGAAACTTATACTAATTAGTCATTGCCCCTGAAAATATCAGAAACTCTCACAAACCTTCTTAGTTTATATTATTTTGAAGGAGAAAAAAATTGACAAGATATTGGTCACCGGTTGCGTTGGTTTTGAACATAGAAAGAATAGTTTTGTGACCCCAGTTGAAAATTAATAAACGGTAACTTTAGTATGACTATATTCCATAATTTGATGTAAATTTGCAAATCCAGAGATATAGGAAACCATATCTAAATTGACGTGAACATGATTTTGAAAAAGAGCGCATATAGGTGCGCCTAATTGTATAGGAGTTGGCACAGAAATGTAAGGGATGTGAGCCTCCCACCCCCTCTCCGGATCCACCTAAGTTTAAACATCCATGTTCATAAACAAACAAATTAATGAGGATATGAAATTTGCATGAACGATGAAATTATTAATGAAGTAAAGGCCTCAACAAATCTTTAAAGACTATTCTATATAAGATAACTGCAAACTGGATAATCATCCATTGCAAAAACTACCCCGGACAATAAACTACCTCGTAAAACAAATTAGGGGCGTGGTTGTGGCAGCTTATTTTCCTGGGAGTAGCAATATTATATCACTTTGGTACTAATAATAGGCCCCGAGAACGACATTGTCATTCTGAAACAGTGACCAAAACCTTTTCAATTTCTATTCTGTGCAGTTTGATATGTCTATTATTATTATATTATTATTAGCAAAGATGTCATCAACATAGAAGATATAATTAGCCATTTTCTGTTGTTACGTAATCAATATGCCAAATACTTGAAATAATTAGGTTTTATTGTAACCTTTTTCGTCCGAAATAACACTGAAAGTCGACCAAACAGACAAACAATAGTTTTGATGTATACGGTATTGAAAGAAGAATGTTATATTTAAAAGACATCAATCTAAGAAAACATTACTTTCTGTCTTAAAATGTTGGAAAGGGAGGGGTGAGTACAAAGGTTGCACCATGAAAGCAAAATTTAGCCGCCGATGCTGTGCTCTGACACGAACTGCTTTGTATAATTCGGCATGAAACCTAATCTCAAGAAAGAAAGACATTATTGAAGGATTCACAATACAGGAAGTTTGAAAGTCCTGCAATACGATGGTAGTCATTTAAGAGGGAAATAAACATTTGAAAATGTGGAGACCAGCAAATCCAAGAGGTTATAAACCTTTGCTTTGAGCCTTTACTGCAAGAAGAAAAACAAACCTTTATACGATCGCGCGCGGAATATTGGAGTCTATTTCCTAATGAGAATACACCGCCTTGTTCGCATTATATCAAGGTTTGTGGTGCAGGTGTGTGGCAGATAGCTCCACCTTTATGCTCGAAAATAAAAGGATTCATTGAAAAACAGCTTTAGGTTTGCGAAAAACGAGAACCACAGCCTAGCTCCAAGAAGGTGATTAGCATTCAGGGCACGAACACGTGACGTGCGCAATGAATAAGGGTACCGCATTATCGGGCCGTGTGCAAAATTTCGCACCGTTACGGAAAGGTGAGAAATTCTTTATTTAAACTTTCTATTAAGCAAATCCCTCCTATTATTTAAACAATGCGGCTACAGCAAGATAAAAGAGAACGTGGTGGTTTTCACTGTTTACGTATAATGGACGAACGGCATATCGATCGCTTACAACAATTGAGTCGTTCAAAAAGCAACGAGGCGAGTAAATTGCCTGTGTTACAGGTGTTGAAGGTATATCGCCTCTTGTGTTTTTATTGCTATGCAGGTCCATAGATACTGAATACATTTCAAGAGCTAGGAAACGGTTAAATTAGTTTGATTGATTTGATAGAAAAGTATAGGTAGTGATCAGGACACAGGAAGTATTTTCTAATAAGTTCGCAACATTGAGAGGCGATTGCAAACTATTTGTTATTATTTTATAAATAAAATAGGCAATCGGGTAGAACCTCTGAAATAGAATAAGACAGATGGGGTGATTAAACAAAATTGTTAAAACTTATTAAAATTACAATTGTTGTCAAAATGTGTCAATGGACTTTCTGAATTGAGACTTCTTGAAATAATGAAAAACCTGTTCTCCACTGGCTTCTTTTTCTTTCTCGAAAATAAGTTTCTTTGCTCTTTCTCTCCTTTTCTTCCCCATAAATAAATGATTGTGCAGGCCTAATGTGCTTGTCTGATTTTATTTTATTCCCCCCCCCCCCCCCCCCCCGATTCTTAGGCATATTACTCTTGAAATTCCTCCGTTCGTCCTTATTCATATTTCCATTTCCACCACTTTGCTGATATCCTAGTATTAAAATGAAAGGATATAGCCCAATCATCGTCTAAAGTTATATTGTGTAGTGACAAGTGACACCATTGCCACGTTTATCCACTGAAGTCTGAACTCTACTTCGCACAGCGATTTACGCGAGTTCAGCGGAGGCGGTGCAATATTATTTCAAACAGCGCCATCACATTTACATTGTCAAGGAGTTTTCATTTTTTGAGGGTTTAAACACTACTTTGGTTTTATTTTGCTCGAATAATTTGAATGTGAAAATATACATGACCAGAACTCTGCAAATTTACATCGAATCGGATTCTACCAGGCCAGTTTTATTCACTAAGTCGAAGGAGGGGACGGGAAGAGCATTTGGGAATCGAGGAGTAGAATAAAGGTGTTATAGCTCTTATGTTTCAAGAGAGAGGGGCAGCATATTTTTTCCCCTTTGCGGATCCGCCTATGCCCATGACCGGGTCGAAAAAGAAAATGTTCGTTTATAGTTGTGTGTAGGAGGGGTGAAATATCATTCAACGTGATTAAACATCATGTAAGCAAAATCTTTGTGAAGAAAAACCCCACAAGCAATGCTATACAAAGCAGACTGTTCTAAAGGGGAAAACCAGACAGTATAACTGTTGACTATGGACGGACCTGTTTAATGATCTTTTGTATGAATCTCGTACAGTGAAAACAGAAACAAGCTCCACATAATGTGCCAAAATGTGCTCGCCTCTAATTGCTTAATTGACCGCGTTTCTCGTCCCTCAATCGATTCGCAGGCACACATCAATCAATCGACCAATGGGAAAAGATTAAAACGGGCAATCGGCGTGCACCTGCACACTTACCAATGCAACTCATTTGAATGATAGTGGTGAGGCTCCCCCTTTTTTGTACAGCTAGCTGGAACTTCAAACCACATTGCGTGATTAAATTCAATATCATAACCCCCCCCCCCCTTATCTCTCTCATCAGCATTTTTAGCTCAGCATCTTCCTACAGATCCATATTAATCATATTTCATCATCAGTTTAGTTATTATTTTCACATCCTGCTGTTTTTTCTTAAATATGAGCCTCTCGGATAATTTAGTTTTCTCCATTGCATCATAGGAATATTTTTTTAATGTATGCCTGCCTCTGTGTTTAACTTATTTTCTAAATTCTGTGCGACCTAAAAATTATTAAAAATCCGGTATACAGTGGCATAATAATGTGAGACTATAGGGAAATGGTTTTACAGGCTACTATCGGTCGCCAATATAGATGACAGATTACAAATTATTTTAATCTGCCGCAATTCTTTGATCCAGGGACGATGAAGCAGATCAGCAAACACTCCACATTCATTATTTCAAAACTACCCTAAATACAAAAAGGGGAGAAAATCTGTATAGCCTTACAAATTGTTATATTAAAAAAAGGCTCCTTCTACGAATTAAAACGCTTGTTAATAAAATGAAATTTTAAAACGCCATATATTTAGTATCTTTCTTCTTCAAACAACCTAGATTGTGTCGGTTCAATACAGCTTCTCCTTGATAAGCTACTTTTTCTGGTATAGTGTCATTTTAGAAATACAAATGACCTTTTATTTGTTATAGTATGAAAATGGATTTTAAAATGTATAGTCAGCCAATGCGAACTCTTGCTGAACATAAAGTTCTTTTTTTTTTCTTCATCCGTCCTTCTTCATGTTATTATTGTTATTAATATTAATATATATATATAGTTTTTATTAGCGTCATCATCGTTATCAGTATTATTATCATTATTTAATAGCATTGTTATCATAAATGTTATCATTGTGGTATTTTTTGTTGTTTTGTGATGCTGGTGGTGTTGTTACTTTTGTTGTTATTAATATCTCTGTAATGATCAATATTTATATTATTTTGCTTGCAATAGTGTCGGGGTATGTCAGTTATGACCGGCAAAGTTTATGATGAGCTCAGAAATAGGGCCTTTACTATAGTTTACTACTATACCCGACAGTAACAAATACACCCTTCATCGTGATAATGTGTAACTTTCTGTAAATTTTGTAAGCAGTCGCGAAAGTCTGAAGTTTTACCATATGTATCGTGCATGCAGGCTCATAATTTATTGATGTTCCCATAAGAACCATAGGCCTATGCAACTATAAGAAAAGTTGCATATAAATTATTGTTTTTTTTTGTAAAGGGTGTAGGCTTACTCTCTTTTAAAATACAAATGTTAACTTTACATTAACGTGCTATTCTGGCACTGCTATATTTATTGTACTAACTTTGGTTCCATATCTACATGTGGGTCCTCATTGTTTGATGGAAGAAGTAATGTTTGAAATGTTTACCATTTTGTTCCTCCGTCATAAAAAATCGTATCTGTTTTTTAAGGCAACGATCTAAAATAAGCGGTATATATAAAATAGCATAAATAAAACCAATAATATATTCCCCAGTCTGTCACATGTCCTACACCCTCAAAAAAATCCCTTCGCTGACGTGTATCATAAATAACACCAGGGAGGTGAGACTATACTGATAAAACTGAAGGATAATATTCTAGCGTTACATCTCCCTCTGTCATTTTCTCAGCTGGATAATATCTATTTTCTTGAGAGCTATGTTGAGAACAGAAATTACGGTTGTCATCACCTCCATAAACGAGCTGTAAGCTTAGCTTTTGACCCGTCACACGTGACCGTTTTCAGCCAATTGCGCTGCGTATACGAATGGCCGCATGCATAATTAATCATACACAAAACGTGGGTGGTTTACACACTCGAGTGCTTCTCACTCACAAAATACTTGAGGTAAATAATGTGCGTAGGTGATCCCGTACAACACGCACAAACAGATTGAACGAACCGACACGGGGAAAGACGATATATCTTTTAAGATTTTGTTTTCGTGTGGCCACATTATTATTGAAATGTAGGATTCACGAATGGATTTGTTGAAAGTACATTGTCTGTCATTGACAGTATGTTCTTCTTGGATTTTATTCTTACAGAGAGGACGATAACGTTGCGAAAGTGATTGTTTACCACAGCGAGAACTAATCGCTCCAGCGTCGGGCACTGGACAGGGTCAACACCCGGCTCTACGAGGGGTGCCAAAATGGCGACCTACTCCTCGCAGATATTCCGATGTTTTTACACGGTTTTGGTCGTCTACTGCCTACTTTTGGATACTGCCAAGTATGTATCAGGACAGAATGTTCTCTGCCCAGAAGAATGCTGGTGCTTGGGATCCCTGGTAGACTGCAGTAAACGACATTTGACGAGTATTCCGACCGACTTGCCGACATGGGTTACAATGCTGTGAGTATATCTTCATATCATTTCAAGCCAATTTATTCTCTCGCCGCGCTGTTTACGAGTAACCAGCCCGCTCAGTTCTGTAGGCCTGCATCATACATGGCGCATAGTCCATGACATAAACACAGCCACAGCACTGACCGGTCATTTGTCAATAGCAAGAGAATTAAAAATATTAACTAAGGAACAGATTTAATCATTTATTTATATATTTTACAATTGGAAAATGAAGAAAACAAATGAACAAGAAAACAAGTTGTGACAAAGAAGCTGGTCTAGAATCTAGAGCAGGCCTTCTCAACTAGTTTATTAGAAGTGCCAAAACAAAAATTTATTGAGGTTGAAGTGCCAACCTGTATGTTTGGTGACTGTGTTGCGAAGGAGCGAAACGACCAAGCCGATACTGAGTGGGGTCCAGGGGGCAAAGGCCCCCGAAGCTAGTGGATTTTAGGGCATTTTAACGCCTTTTTGTTCCATAAAACATCAATCATAATTTCATATTGATGTGAAATAATTAGTACAATTCCTGGCTAAAATCTACACTGGAAGTTAAATTACATGTAGTTATTTTGGTGCAATAAACACGGAAAATGTCAAAATCAAGTGAAAATCAAACAAACAAAATGGCTTGCTTACATTTTGGGCTCAACTTCGACTGCGATTTTTTGATTTTGCTGAGTTTTTTAATTTTTTAATTTATTTTTTATTGATTTTTTGGAACAGCCGCGCGCCACTCTGACTGCCGCCAGTTGAGAAGGCCTGCTTTAGAGTCTAGTAAAATAAAAAATTTAATCAAACGAGACAAGACTGTCGTGAGTTCTAATGTTAATTATTTCATAGGCCTAAAATATGTACATGAACCTGGCTAGGGTCTAGACTAATGACATTTTGCAGACAGAAAGCCTGCAGCTGTCTATGGTACATGTACTTTGACATTAAAAAAAGGAAATAAATATGTTCTTGCTAATGTTTGTTTGGCTACATTTGCAAACCTGCATATTGTGCATGCATCTGTTGCATCATAACATCAGGTCATAATTTCGGTCTCTGATTCTGTTCTGATCCTGGTCCTGATCCTCAACTTCTCAAAAGGGATATATATAGGTGACCAATAAGAACGTTATCCTTCAAGAGAGAGAGAGAGAGTGTTTGTTGCATCTAGAACATTTTGGAATTAAGTCCCCTCACATTGCAGTTATGGTGAGGGACTAGACTATGCTTAATATTTACCCCTATGGATTGCTTCCTAGACTAGTCATTTTATTTTTTCTATTTTTTTCTATTTTTTTTTTAATGTTTCAGATCGTTTTCTTTCAAATACTAAGTTCAGATGTAGATGCTATAGATTTCTTTCAGAAAACTATGGGATTTAATGTAGATTATCACAGTTCACACTAGTGTGTGTTTGTGTTGAGTAATTGTTGGGCGCTGATCAATCATGTACATTTTTGTTGGCTAAGTGGCCGACCTTTTATTTCAAATTAACATCTAGAAGAGGTAACACCAAATCAAATGTGAGTGTATGACGAGAGGACTGACCACTAGATGGCAATACCCAACTTGTATCAACCTACTAATGTGAATTAATCAACCGAATGTGAGGTAGCAAATGAAATAGCTCATATTTATGCTAGTTATCCATGTTGATTTTTTCTTCAAATTAACTTTTATCAAAATAAGAGATTTCATTGATAGATAGAAGCGCAACTCTAGCCTTGCTAGCAAGTTACTCTATACTACTGTAGTGGCTGTAGCTTAGAACCAAACTTAAGTTAAAAGCTGACCAAATAAGATAAAGGCTTATACTGTTTGGGCTTGTAAAACTGGTAATTCGAGCCATACCCTAGTTAAATTTGAGCTTGTGTGTTTTTGTATCCACCTGTAGACCCTTGTATAAATAAATTAGTACACTGCATATGAAATTGACATGAAAATTAATTAATGCTTGGAAAGATAACCTTGCTGTTTACAAACTGGAAATGATAAATTTATCCCAACATCCTCTGCTCAATAATTTTGAGACATGAGGCTTACATTGTACCTTGTATGTTGTTGCCAATATGGCAAATGCAAGATAATCAGTTTCTCTGAAAAGGAAAGTAAATTTTTAAGTGCATGTAGTGTAGGCTTTCGTAGAATGTGTAAAAAAGTTTTCGCTTTTAGTATATTAGAGAGTTGAGACTGTATTGTTATATTTGATTAATGATGTTCTATTTTTTTCTTAAATTCATGGCTGTACATGTGATGTGATGTATCACTCAAGTTTTTTAGTTAAATAACATTAACAAGTACACTCTTGGAATAAGTCAATAAGTTTGCTTGTACAGTATAAAAGCATGGAATGAGAAAAACAGGCGATCATTGAAAATTAGGAAAATTAAGATTACCCTGGGAATCACCGACCTCTCCCATTTGTTTCATTTCGCTTGAGATATGTCATTACACATGTGCTCTATTATTAAGACATACCGGTATGTTTTACACACCCTCTCATGAGAATGATTTATTTCTACATCAACAACCCCCCCAAAAATTGGAAAATATGAAATCATAGTGACACAAATCAGGAATAGATACATTGTACATGTAAATGCAATGTAAATTGGATAGAACTTTCTTACTTATCAGATTTTCCCTTAAAAAATTACGGTTTTTCCAAATTCTGCTCTTGTTAAAACTGAACATTTTATAGTTTCATCATGATGACGAAGGGTATAACATGGCAAGGATGTAATTCCAGCTTGACAGATGCAGAGTTACAGTTGTCCCTTAGAATTGTCTCTTTTGTCTTCTTTTTGTCTTTAGTTCCTACTAGGCCTAGTTCCTACTGTACCTTGTAAACTATAGCCGATCTTACTTTACTTGTATACATGTACATGTATATTGTATACTGGTATACATTTTTAATATCATTTAGATGCAGATATTATGTATTCAATGTCTAAACTTTGAAGAAAAAAAATCCTAAGTTGGAATTTCCTGAACATGGGCTGGGTACCAACAACGCAAGCCTTCTGTTTTATTTCTTAAGTTATAAACTGCATTTTTCTTCTTACAAATTTCCAGTGTTCCACTTGCCATAACATGTGCACATGTACTTGTAGCAAAGTTGTAGGTACCTGTATATTAAAGGTAAAGACCAGTTATGGTCATGCGATTGCATTGTGATAGAAACGTTGTGGAATCGATCAGAAAAGGTTGATCATCTAGCATCTAGCATCTGCAAGGTTCTGGAATCATCAAAATGATAAGAAATTTGGCCAATTCTTCATAAAGTTACAAGCACTATACACAGAAAGATGTATATGGGACTACCCTATATATCTCACAGACCATGAGAGAAACAAAGTTACCAAATATATGAATTAGTAGGCAGTTTCCCGGCAAATTTTTTATCATGTATTAGTCAAAACATATTCTTTCACATGATTGGTAATGAGAGCTTCCATTTCATTTTTTGAAATTGGGGCGTTTCCAATACTGGTCTTTACCTTTACGGTATACAGTATGTACAATTGTACATACACATGTATATCTGATTCTAGCTTTTAATGATTGACAGAAAGTACAAGCAACCCTGGCATGGTCCTTGCAATCCTCGAGTGGATCATTTGTCAGACAGTGAATGACACTGGTCCTGACATTCATACTAATTGTCAGATTGGGCCTAGCGTAAATTCCTACTCCAGTGAGCTAGCTGCATTGCAGAAATTAGTGTTCACACAGGAGTTAGACCAGGAATGGTCCTTTACAAAATAATGATTAATCATCTCTTTTAAAGAGAAATTGTAATCCTGATTTGCTGTGAAGTACACATACATGTACATGCAGTAGCTTTTCTAAAACAGTACAAGCTATACCAGTAAAGGCATGTGCAAATAGATGTGCACATGACATGTAGGCCTACATGTTTCTTTAGACAGTTTCCATTTGGTTTAGAAGAAAAGAGTTTCTTGTACAGGTTTGCAATTGAGACTTTATTTATGGTCAACTACAATACAATAACACTAAGTTAGAGGATAATGTTCAGAATTCAGATGATAAATATATCGAAAAAACATTTGAATGAAAGTTTTAGAAAATAATAATTTTTGTGAACATCAACATTCTCCAAGTATGCCTACAATAAATCTAATAATTTAAATTCTTGGTTTTTCACCATGTAAATTGATCATTGTCTTGTGATAAAGTTAATTTATCTTTGCTGAACATTGTACACCCTCCTGCCATTGACTGACAGCCATGAAGTGTGGAGGGCTTTTCTAACTCTTTGTGCTTGAAAGCTTGCTTTGCTCTGCAAACACAACCCTCCATGCCATGCTGTACAATGAATGCAAACAACTTTTCACAGCGAACATGTACATGTATTCAAGGGGGTGGGGGTATGTCATACCAAGTACAGTGTGGTGTAAATTATGGCATAATATGCATGAGGTATGTTGTTGTGTGATATTTTTTAATTGTAGACTTGGACTTTGGAAATCCTTGTCTGGTTATTTATGGACCCAACTAAGCTGGACTTTGTCTTCTTGAATACTTTGGTTTTTGAAGATTGCATATCTTGATTTATCATCAATGAAAACATGTAGAATTTTGTGATTCTTATATTTTGAAAAGTCCCTTTATTTAATGGAAAATCATAACAGCAAGGGCATGATTTTAATAACTTTATTTAATGATAATTTGTGTTTAAAGTAACAGATAATTAAAATTGTAAATCCACATGTAGGCTGCTGTACAGTGTGCATGTGATTGTGATATATTGCTATAAACTTCCAATCTGTGACAAAATGTCTACAGAAACGGTTTCCGCGTAAGGGTATTTTTTCCGCAAGTAATCCTCTACATTTTTGCAGGTGTAAGAAGTCTAATTTGTGGAGCCTTTCTTTGTTGCGCCATGTTTGTGCCTAGTGAGCGGGTATACATTCGCCATGACCTTTATAATGGGCAGCAGATTTTCCTGCAGCAAGGCGTGACCAAATAGTTAAGACAGGAATGTTGCCCTGAGCCAGAGTGCAGCTCAAATTTGGGGAAATCTTTGTCCCCACAGATTATGAAAACATGGGTGCTTTTTCTCTCCCTCAAATTTAGCCCGGGCTATTGTTGTTGGTCTACCCCAAGAAAGTGCCCGAATCCACTTTGGCTGGGTTTAATATTCGTATCTCAACACCTCCCAAAGCTGTCTTGCTGGATCACATAAATGGAACAGTGATGACAAATTAAGGCCCTCTCTTTCTACAGTTATGTGGTTCTGTTTGCCGTTTCGTTTCTTTAACTCATTGCCGTTATATCTCAATTTTTCCACAATGATCAAAATTTCAATTTTATTTGTCTCATGATCTGAAATCATTTATGTCAAAAATTCTTCTTGGAGCAATATAAGGTGCTTGAGACAAAAAGACATTACATGTACTGCCTACATACACATGTACATGTACATTTATTTGTGTACAAACACATTTTAGGCCATTTACATGTACATGTACATGTCATGTATAGAGTTTGATGTATACAAGGCCTTGTGTACATCAAACATACATCCACAGCTACTCAGTTCTGTAGGCCTACAAAATGCAAGTCCTCTTGTTATTAAAGGCTGCATCCTTGATTTATAAGTAATACTGAATTAGCCATCCTGTGTTCAGGTGTTGTTTGTAAGCATTGATTTGCACTTTGTCATCTAGATTAATTCTCTCCTTCCTAGAGACAGTTGAGTCAGGTACATGTACAATGTATAAGCCAATCTTATTTCCCCTGTCCCCTTACATGTTGTGGTTGACCAGAAGGTGTTTGACTGATTGATCATTCTGGTTTTAGGATAGCTAGTATACATTTTCAGACCCTCGCAAACAAAATACACTAAGTGTTTGTGTTTGCAATTTTGCATTCCAGCAAGAATCGGTATACCTATTATAAATACAAGTTTATGTTTATGTTATGTTTTTTTGTGTCCCTGTCAAGGAGCATTATTTGGGGGAATCCTCAGTAGAAGAAATGCTGTAGGTTTATAAATACTGTGAATGGAAAACAAGGTCTAGTGATCATAGACTATGAAAGGGGCTTAACTTTAAGCATATCCCATAATGGCCAGTGCAGTCCATATGAATAGACCTTTTTAGATTGGACAATCATTGATGCACCACTAACAGCTTACCCTGTCATTGACTGTGGTTATTCATTTGATTAATAATAGACCTGTGCACACCTGTACAGTGCCTGCATCATACATGTACATGCACATTGACCCATGCAGTATATACACGCTGAATTTCCTTTTCTTTGTATTCCCCCATTGTTCCATTAAAGTAAATCCTATTGTCATTTAGGGTAACAGGAAATGGGAGTTAGCATTATGTCTTTTGTGCTACCTCCTGATTTCCAGACCAAGATTAATTTCTTTTATGGGGAAATAAAAAGTTACTGGTAAAGTGTAAAGTGGATGTAAAAAGCTATTTACCTATATATATCTACATACAATATTGTAGTAGTACATATTTACTGGAAATGGATATTTCACTTGAGCACCGTGTTTATGTTTACAATTTCTTTTATGGGGAAATAAAAAGTTACTGGTAGAATGTAAAGTGGATGTAAAAACCTACTAACCTACATGTACATGTATATAATCTACACAATTCTACATACATTTGTAGTAGTACATATTTTCTGGGAATGGATAATTTAATTGAGCACCATGTTTAATTGTTTATGTTTACAATTTTGTTTGTTATATTCTGTAAATTACATGCTCTTATCATTATGAGGGTACCACACCATGATGTCCCCTTTGTAGCCAAACTGCCAAGCAGCCAAATAATTTGTTTATGTCTAAGAACTCAAGAAGTGATGCATTTACATGTGATTGAAGAATGCATCAAAGCATTTACACAGTGTTCTAGTAATTATTGAATACTAATGACATGAAGGCAGGCCTACAGTTTGTTTTGTGTTGTTAAATTTAATATCATAGATTTTTACTTCTTACTCAAAGTAATGTGTAATTATTATTTCCTGGCTTTTATTTACTACAGGGAATTGCAATCGAACCGCATCGCCAGCATCCCAGATGGAACTTTTGACAGGTTATCACAGTTAGAAGACTTGTAAGTAAAACAATTATACTCTTGACCTAGCCCTTACTTATAGTATATTAACTCTACTATGCATTTACATGTAGGTATAATACTGCTCACAATGAATGAAATCTATGTTTTTTGTGTATGGTACTGGTAGGCCCTCTAAAACATTACCACCGATAAAACAGAAGTTAACTGAGGATACTGTGCTCTGTACTAGAGGAGTTACAGATTGTGTGTTCCAATCCAATTAACAGTTTTTAAAAGCATTGAGAAAAAAAGAACCAGCCCATTTTGATCGCTGCGTATTGATTGCCAAAGCGGTCTGACAGGGGTGTTTCACTCTTTCATATTGACGTATGTTAAATGGCATGTCATTTCCTGGTCAAAAACCTTGATTGTAGGCTAATTGTGAGATGACAGAGTGGGAAAGATGGAGGTAAATTATGTTTGGAATCAAATACAGTTATTTGGGATAGGGTCCTGAATTATGACAAAAAAGCAACATCAAATTCAGTGCACTTCAGAAAGTTGTTTGATTATTTTAGGATGTTTGTATTTTGTGAGAATATATCTTGAACAGAATTGGAGGTGTTGGATTCTGTTGTAATCAAGTACAATTATTTGGGATGGGGCCCTGAATTAAAGCAATTTCAAATACAGTGCACTCCAGTCCAGACAGTCGTATGATTATTTTAGGATGTTTGTATTTTGTGAGAATATATCTTGAACAGAATTGGAGGTGTTAGATTCTGTTGTAAATCATCACATGGCCATTTGTTCTTTCCTGTGTACATGAATTTCATAATCAGTTGTATTTGTTTTCAAGAATAGATTCATGTAAGACCCAATAGTTGTTTGTTTTGCATGGGACTGGACATGTGAGTAGATTGACTCATCAAAGAGCTCTGTGCCTATCCCATTGGTGTCATTTTGATTACTTGAAGAAGCGGTTGCATAGCGACAAATCTTTCCGTCTGGCCATCTTGGACAGGAATTTCTAAACGTGAAAAATATGTAACATGCTCTATTCGTTCGGGAAGCCATCACTTCCAAATCATTTATCTTCAAACTCAAAGAAGAATTTTACTTCTTACAGGTTGGAAGACTAAAGCAAAGGTTTAATACTGTTAGTCTGGAACTCTTTAACATGTACATGTACAGTCCTCCCATGTGATACTATTACCCAAACATAAACATTGATATCTTTGTATTTACGAAAACAAGGTTTGGTTTTAACTTTTGCAGTTTCATCACAGCAAATGAATACTATATAAGTATTTATGAATAAATAACAAATGCACAAATTTTCATCAACTGAGAAGGGGGTGGGGGTATTTTTATAAAGTAAACAGGATATATTCAGACATAAATCTGATTGTATTTGAAAGTACCCAAATATTAAATCGCAAATCTCTGTTCTTTATAAATGCATTTTTTGTTCATGCATCTGCATTCAAGTAAATGGTCAGAAATATTGTTGCAATCGAGAAATTATTTCAACAACCTTATGAAACAAGTCAAACTTAAACAAAAAAATACAACACTGTCATTTTTGTCAAGTATAGAAAATGAACCTCATGAGCCTTGTCTTGAGCATTGCTTTGTTTTTACACACTTGAGAGATCGATGAAAGTAATATTTTTATCTGCATATCACAAGGCACTGCAAGGGTCAGGTGCAAAGCTCAAGTTTCAATCAATGCATTATTGACTGTAAGACGGCATAGTTGTAGGTGCAAGGAGATGTAGGGGTTTCGCATGTAGGCCTACATGTTCATATACATGTTTGTGTGGGCAATGGGTCTCGTAACCACACATAATGTATGAGGCAGTGTACAAGAATATTATGATCATTCTCTAAGAGCTGAAGTCCATGTGCTTGACAAGTTTTGAAGATATTTCCTGAATATTTAATAGTTAGTCACAAAGTCAGTGTTCATTAACATAGATTGGACATTGTGTGCAGATCTACTGTATATAATATCCACATGCACATGTACAGTGTACATCTTTGTACAAAATTGTATATACACAGAGACTAGTCCATTTACAAACAGTATTTTTCATTTTATTATCATACATGAAGTTGAAAATCATCAATCGTTTGATATATTCAAATTATTGTAAATGTTGTTTACAAAGTACAGCTACACTGTACAGTATGCTCATGCTGGCACTATTTATAGACCTGTTTATAGTAGTACACATGTGCAGTGGCTTGTTTATTAGTTTTTAGATCATTTTTTGTTTGAAAGCTATGAAGTGCTTCCGACAGAATTATTCAGTCGATTGGTGGTTTAATGATCCATTATAGATGTGTGAGAACGGATACAGCTAGCCAGCCTCATCATCCAAAATGGACTGCCCACATATTAGAAAGAAAAAAAAGATAAGAGAAGAAAACAACTTGGGGAAGAGAAATTTGTGCGATGGAAAAGCTAGGGGAAGCTGGCTTCTCTTTTCACTGTCTTAGCAGAAAGGCTTTTATCAGTGAAAATTGATAGCTTTGCCCCGACAAATGTGGCAAGATTGAATTGATTATGCATCGGAGAGAACGAGAGCATTTATGCAGTGCATGCAGAGAGCTCCTGTGTGCATACATGTGCGGGTCGTAGGTGGGATGTAGGGGTGCATATTTCTTTGGTGATGAATAATGTAATTTATGACTTTGGCATGCTGGGTGCATAAATGATTACTTCTCCTCAAGGGAGAAAAACAAAAAAATATGTGTGATAATTGATCTTGAACAAGTGCATGAATATGAAGAACTGCATGATTCATGTGAATTCTGTTCAGATTGAGATAAGATGTATTGTTCCTTGTCAATCTTTTTCATGCTTCTTTATAGCAGAACTTTGATATATTATAGAGTGATTAATTGATTATGGGTTATGAAAGTTACACATTAGCTTGAAGTTGAACTGGAATATTTATCTTATTCTAATCCAATCTGCTTTCACATGGCAACATGAAGATTTCCCTACCCACTATGTACATGTATGAACACCCAGTGTTCTTGCTGTCTTGATAGACATTTTTAATACATGGCCCTAGCGCACCTTGACAAAGCCTGCCTCTAAGGGCGCACAGAAAAAAATGGGGACAGTGTGTTTCTCCATTCTGCATTTTTCACAGCTGAGATGTGCTAAATAGGCTTACACCCCGCTGAGTACAGCCTTGCTTTGCCAAAAGCTTCATGCATAAATTGGTGTGCTGAGGCATGGTCACGTTCACAGGCAGCCAAGCCAGCCAGCCAGCAAGCTAGTGCAGGTTCTGTAGCTTGATGCCATCTCAATGCTCTCTGTCTGTCTTCCACTCTCTCTCTCGGATCCGTCTCCTCCTCCCAAGTGCCTAAGTGCTGTGCAATCCGTGCATCTCATTGGTATTAACCTGCTGTTAGGACGCCTGATAACTTGCGTGTTCCACGATTACCTGTCTGGTATAAATGGGCAAAACGCAACAAGATACTGTACTGATGGGAGCAGAATAGATTCCAAATGAAAAAGCTAACAATGTTGTACCATCTCAATCATTTAAAGTCCTAGGCAACACTACTTTGTGATAAATTTAATATTTATAATTACATTTTATAATGATTCCTGAGAGTTTCAGTCAGCAAGGTCGAAATTAAGGGTTTGATTAGGTTATCAATTTAATAGTAAAGTGTTTTTTTTCTTTATTATGTCTTTTCTATTATGTTAGAAATTGCCTTTATGTGATCCTCACGGCTCTCCAAACTGCAGCCAGATAATTTTTTACCGAGTTCCGCTTCTGGCTTTTGTTGGGCCATTGAGCACAGAAATAACTTATGGCTGTGAAGAAGGAGGTATTTTTCAGTTTTGTCCCATTGATAGCCACAATACAATCTGTTTTGGCCCATTGAAATCCCTGCATTGTGGTGTAAGTGTACACAAATTTCACACTCCGATAACTGCGCTAACATCAACATCGTGACCTTCCTGCGGATGTTCTTTTCTCAGTTAAAATCTCGTCTTTTTTTTCCAGTGATGATCAGGGATATTTTTATTGGCAGTTTTATCGTTCGCCTGTGTATTGGCAAAGTGAATTATGGCCCTGATCTTTTGTAGTCCAGTTGAATAAGAGAATAATGGTTTTTATTTTCATTTCATGCCTCAAGAAATTATTGGGAGTAGGCTGCTAATTCCACTACATTGTTCCCTTTTGCAGTGTACATTGTACATGTATACATGTATACATCCATGATTTGTCTTCAATTTCTGCATCTATTGAACTTTGTCAATGCACCCATATTTAGTACATATATTATATGTACTAAATATGGGTGCATTGACAAAGTTCAATAGATGCAGAAATTGAAGACAAATCATGGATGTAAAATACATAATTGATAATGCATCTGATGACACTTAACATCACATAAGTCAGTTTGGAATAGGGATATTAGTGTCAGAAATGAAAATTTCATGTACTGTACATGAACACTTGGTACTGTATGTTCAGGAATCGGGATGATGTAGTTGATTGCAAAATGATTAAATTTACTCTCTTTTTTTTTTTACTGTTATGGAATTCAAAACATACATGTTCGATATGTGAGCAAAACATTAGATGATTTTATTTTGCAGTGGGATATACATAACATAGTTAATTAGAGTTTTTTTATCCCCAAAACTAATAGAATTAACTAATTACCCCCCAAAATAGAATGTGAATATGGTCCTCTATTTTAGGATTTGAAAAATCTCCTTTTCCTCTGTAAGGCTGCCCTTATGGGGCTGTAGGTTCATCCTAGAAATCAAATCATCTGAAATTTCATCTACATGTTGTTTGCTGCCACCGGGCGCAGGCAAACAGAGTCGGGGCGAGCACAAACTTTGAAATTGGTTGAAGATCACGCTTCTTTATGTGTTGTCATGGGTTCTTGTTCGTTTGCTAGCTTTCGCAGGCCTCTGTTATATGAGGTGCTGTGTTATATGCCAAAACTCGTGTAGGAGATAAAATCCCTGTTCAAAGAGATATGCTTGTTTTAGAGGAGATGTGGCA